TGGAGTGGTCCGTATCTGAGCAGCCATATTTGCGCGGAGCAAGAGCCCCGAGCCAACAACAGCCTTCCGCCTCTCGCAGCGTATCAGCTGCTGTTGTTACTGAGCCAGTGGCGATTCGTTTCAGCAGCAAACCTGTTCATGATTTTTCGGACACACTCCACAAACACTCACAGGCGCACTCACGGCACTGAAAAGGAGTCACTCACGCACGACAGACAATCCTCACAAAAGTCGCGACTACTGACACTCACACACACAGACACTCACTTCGCACAGACACTGTCCACTCGCACGAGTCTGAACACTCACTACACAGGACAACTCGCTCGGCACACTGGACATTCACGACACACACACTCAATTCACATGCTTCATTCTATTTTATACAGCTATAGTTTTATTGATCATTTTGTTTGTTGTTGTGTGTGACGTTTTGGTTGATGGTATATAAGAAAGTTAAATTTTCAATCTGTGAATAAATTGCCGAACAATTGCCATCAAAAGTATTATTTCTGAGTCACATGTTTTTATAATTTTTGTAATGGAACAATGTGAAGATGTTTTGAGTGTTGTCACTAAAGCAGCAAAAATGCATCTAAAGTCTCTGTTTCTGCTTGATATGTTCCTGTTTACATACATCTCGTTTCCTCTGTTTCTTGCTCCAGTACCATGTTTTATGGGTGATAAGTATGCTTTGTTCTTGGCGAATAACCTCAAGAACGGTAAGAGTTAGAAACAAACTGTTTTTTTTTTCAGATAAAAGCCAGAGAGGTGAATCTTTAATTTGGGCCCTTGGTGTTTTACATCGTCCTAAAATATGAATTTAATGTCTGTGGCACATCAACGTTGGGTCAAATCACCTGAATTTGCTGCAGAAATGCACTTCTCAAATCTGAAAATCCTGGCAGTCCAGTGAGTTAAGGTCCACGTAGTGTATTTTGACATGACGCACAAACATATAACATACACAAAAACATATAACAGTACACAAACATATAACCCATACTCGAGAGGCCTGTAATTTTAACTTTGTTATATTTTGTTTCCATGTCCAATACAATTGTCCTCATAGAGCTATTTTATAGTTCTAACGTTCAGAGCCAGCAGAACATGCAAAGCTTGAGAGATTTTTCCTAAAATGATCCATTTCCAAACTTTAGTGTGTTAAACACCAGTGGTCTTTACTCGGCGCTGTGTGCACAAACTGTGTCCCCCTATATTTTTAATGAGCTCTTGTTACTTTAACAAAAATCTCATGCACGTGCAATAAATGTTTTTCCCTTTTTTTTTAAAGCCAGTTCGGATTCCTTAAAAAATGTAAATTGTTTTCAAAACTTTAATACTTCATCACCCTTGTTTTTAACGTTCATGTGGAGAAAAGACCATTGTCCTATGTTGTTGTTTGTGTACTTGCACCAATCATGTCACAGATAAACTGCCAACAGTTATATCCAAGACATAATGTCCTAATTGTTTTCTAATATTAGCTTGTTGGAAGAGAAACATGTCATAAAAGATTTCAAAAAATGTCCCCAACATCTTTGTTTTCAACCAATGATCAGTGTTTGCTCTATGTGGTTATCAGTTATGGATCCAATATCACCTTTTAGCCAAAATTCAGATAATGCTTTAAATCATTTTTCAAGACTTTAATTGTCTAACTAAACCATTTGTAACTAAATGCAGCGTCCTTAAATAGCTCATGTTTATCTTTCTAGCACCCAAGTTTTTACTGTGCATGTGACTGTGTTTTAATATAATTTAACGAACCAACACGGTTCAAAAGGTTGAAAAACACTCGCTTTAAATATCCGTATTACCAAGATCATATGCAGTTAAAATCGAATAATTCCTAAAACTTCTCCGCGTCTATATCTTTAAATAATACTAGTTTCAATAACTAGAGCTCCTCCGACCTTTAATAGACTGCTGAGTTGCTATAATCTGCCTTGTGTCTCATGCTAACGGCTAGTGTCTAATTAATACTAACGGATAGTCCTGTTTCTTATCATTGCAGCTAAATGTGGTGTTTATGAACGAATGACCTAGCTAAATGTGTAAATATGACTTAATATGTCTCTGGTGCGTTTGTTGCCTGTCTGTCAATTAACTTCTGTGTGTCTTCATATTTAGGCCACCACGTCTCAATGTCCGTTAATGTGCTTTCTTTTAACATCATGGGCGTCTTTTCAATGTCTTTTGTCTCAAAGTGTCCAATGTCTTTGTCTCGGTGTCTTTTTCTCTTCTTCTTTTAAACAATCACTTTCTTTCTTCTCTTTTTCAATAATCACCTTCTTTCTTTCTTGCAATCACTTCTCAGGTCCTTTCTTTGTCTCAGTGTGTGTCCTTCCGTCTTCTTGTTAGGTTTTGAAACACCAACGTTCTTCTCCTCACGTGCACATAACTCCACTTCGGTTTGTGCAAAAGTCTGGTTCTTCTCCAGGAAAAGAGGCCGGAGAGGGTCTTCCTTCGAGAGTTCCTGTAGCTGCTGCAGCCAATTGCTGCAGTCTTTTTGCTGCCCCCCTGTGGGTGGGAACCGGGGGAGACGCAGATGGTCCGTGCTGATGGCGCCCGAATGAGGTCTTGTGGGCAGAACGAATTTTTTGGCCAAATGAACAGACAGAAGTTTTCTTTCTCGGAAAAAACAGACAAACAAGAAGCAGCAAACAAGTGTGTTAATTACCATCACAAACCATTGATTAATTACAATTCAAAATAACCTATGAAATAATTAATATTAAAAACATTTTAAACTTTACATTCTGACAACCAATTCTGCCTTTCAACTGACTATCCTAAGCCCTACTTTTTCCAAAAGTATCAATGCTCTCTAAATCAATCTAACTTTTATGTCACCCAAATGTAGGGAAAAAAAACTTGTTCCAGATAAAAAATAAAATAAAATAATGCCTCTTTATAATCTAACTCAAAGTTCTGTGATCCGATGACTCCATTCTGTAACATTATCGTGTGTATATATGGTAATTTCTACAAAAAATTCTGTCTTCACGAGAGAGAGAGAAAAGACAGAGATAAGAGAGAGAGAGAGAGGAGAGAGAGAGAGAGAAGGAAGGGGAGAGAGAGAAGGACAGAACGAGGGGAGGAGGGCCGAGTGCTTGTTATGCCTCAAGCATTTTTCAGAGAGGGAGCCGAGGAGGGAGAAGGAGGGGCTGTGTGGTTTCTCAAACAGAGGAGTACATGTTCGACTGAAATACACCACATTCATGAACATCCCCTTTAAAATTTGCTACATTTTCCTCGTTGTTTTTTAATCGTGACAATGTTGTTAACAGTGTGAGAGTTCTCTCACGTCAAACGACACTTACATTTTATTTAAATACGGTCAGTAAAGGAAAACATTACAATTTGCTACCTGATTAATGTTTCGATAGTTACAGAGAATCAGGAAATAAGATTCTGCTGGAACCACCGCGATACATTAAGCAGGTAACTAATTGTAATGTTTTTCCTTTACTGACGTATTTAAATAATGTAAAGTGTCGTTTGAACGTGAGAGAACTCCACCACTGATGAAACATTGGTCACGAAAAAAAAACTGAGGAAAATGTTAGCAAATTTTAAAGGGGATTTCCTTGAATTTGGTGAATTCAGTCGGACATGTACTCCTCTGTTTGAGAAACCACACAGCCCCTCCTTCTCCCTCCTGGCTCCCTCTCTGAAAAATGCATGAGGCATACAAGCCACCGGCCCCGCCCCCTCTCCTCGTTCTGTCCTCTCTCTCTCCCCTTCCTCCTCGCTCTCGCTCTCATCTCTCTCTCTCTCTCTCTCTCTGTCTTTCTCACTCTCTCGTGAAGAAAGAATTTTTTGTATGATAATTTACATATATGTACACACGATAATGTTTACTGACATGGACATGGGGATCACAGAACCTTTGAGTTAGATTATAAAGAGGCATTATTTTTTTTTTTATTTTTGTATCTGGACAAAGTTTTTTTTCACCTACATTTTTGGTGATATAAAAAGTTAGAATGATCTTAGAGAGCATTATACTTTTGGATAAAAGTAGGGCTTAGGATAGCAGTTGAATGAAGAATTGGTTTTTCAGAATTTAATATATGTTTAAAATGTTTAATATTAATTATTCATAGGTTTATTTTGAATTGTAATTAATCATTGTTCGTATGGTAATTAACACACTTGTTTGTGCTTTCTTGTTTGGTCTGGTTTTTTTCCGAGAAAACGCTGTCTGTCTCATTTGGCCAAAATCGTCTGCCACAAGACCTCAATCGGCGGGCATCAGCACGGACCATCTGCGTCTCCCCTTTTTCACCCTCAGGGGCAGCCAAGACGCGCATCGGCGTGCAGCAGCTAACAGGAACTCTCGTAAGAAGACCTCTCCGCCTCCATTTCATGGAGATGAACCAGACTTTTGCACAAACCGAGTGAGTTATGGCACGGAGGAAGAACGGTTGTGTAAACCTAACAAGAAGAAAGAAGGACACTCACTGAGACAAAGAAAGACATGAAAGAGTGATTGAAAGAATAAAGAAGGTGATTATGAAAGACAGAAGATAGAAAGTGATTGTTTTAAAGAAAAGGAAAAAGACATGAGACAAAGACATTGGGACACTTTGAGACTAAAGACATTGAAAGACGCATGAGTAATAAAAGACATTAACGGACATTTGAGACGTGGGCTGCCTAAATGAGACACAAAGAAGGTAAATATTTCTTGATCCGTCGTGTAGCACAACAGACAACTTGGCAACCTCAGTGCGGGCTAACCTAGCTCAAACAGCCTCTTCATCACGTCCCAATACTGAGTGTGCTGCTCCAGAACCTCCGGAGCGTAGTCCTCAAAGATGTGGATAGGTGTATCTTTATATTTCAGTTTGCCCCGTAGCTGTCGGGCAGCCCGCACAACCACCTCCCGAGTTTGGAAATTATGAAAACATGCCGTGGCCTACCCGTGGATGCTAGCCTAGCAGTCTGCACGCGGTGGGCCCTGTCCAGTTTCGGGGGTAATGACAAAATGTCTAGCCTAGCCTAGCCTTTAGCTTAGCGTTTTCCGCAGCTACCACTGCTAGCTCAGCAGTCAACTCGTCACTGGTGGAGTTGACATCGGTCAACTCGTCACTGGTGGAGTTAGCAAATTGCTCCAAACTAGCGATACGTTGGTCATGGTCTTCAACGGAGTTCTGGAGACCAATAAGCTTTGCCTCGTACCTCGTGTAGGTGTCTTTGATTTCAGCCAGGAGCTCACTTTTAGTTTCCGCTAGCTTAGCTGTTAGCACGGCTGTGAATGCGGTGACATCAGCTGCTTCTCCGCGGACTTGTTCATCTTTCTTCGGTTTCGGAGGCATGGTTATGCTCTAAACAAGGGCAGGTAATTTGCTGGGTTACTTGTTGTAAATGAAAATGAGTAAAAAATCAGTAGAAGTAGTAAGTTCGGGGAGCGCTGAAAAAACACGTCTAACCCATCGCAAGGCCCAACCGGAAGTCTGTGTCGCTCTTTCTGAAGCAAACTGCTTCGAAACACTGCGTTGGAGCGTGTCTGAAAACAACGGGTCACGTTGTGAGATTTCATAACACTTTTAAGCAACTTTTGTTAAAGTTAAACTCATCATTCTTACATGTGCAGAAGCCTGTACTTTTCCACTACTTGTTTTGACTATCTCTGCTGGCACCGTGGAAGCTGCTGATTGGAGGTCTCCATGCCTCCGCTCTGTATAATACACTTGCATTCTGTTGTTCGTGTTGTTCGTGCTGTCTCTACCATTGACAATAAAACATGTCTTCTGTCTGAATGAAAGACGCAATCCCAGACTTTGTCATCTTCTTCAGGTGGTGGAAGGATGCGGGCCTTGTCTGTAACATCTAGAGAACAGAAGACTACTTTTTTTTTTACACAAAAAGTGTTTTTTTTTTCAAGCCAAAACTGAGAAACCTCAAGAGAAACCATGCATCTGGACCAGCACACTTGGACAATCTGCACAGCCCCTGATTCCAGTCAGGCCTGCTGTGAGCTGCTGAGACATGGACAATACCATCGTCCTCTTTTGCATGGACATCATTTGGAACAATTGGATTTCTGAATTTGGACATAATTTGGACTGAATTGAATTGCTGAATCTGGACACTAAAGCTGAAACGTGTGATTGAAAGACACGTCACAGAAGAATTCATGGCTCAACACAACAAATGCAGCCTGAAGAAACCCACACAGAGAAGTGGGAGAGACTGTTTTCAAAGCAATATCTGGAACCACCATCGACTGATGAAGTTTGGTATTTTACTGAAGATTGTTGACAAGTTTTATGAAAGATCTGAACATGTTTTATGAGTTTTCTGAGTTTTTGAAGTAGTCCGACTTCTGAGTTTTTTGAAGTACCGAGTGAAGTACCGAGTTTATGAGTTTTTGAAGTATCGAGATATGATGTTATGTTGCTGTTTATCGATCCTGATGGTCACACGTGAATGTGTGACCAGAGGGGGGAATGTGAGATTTCATAACACTTTCAAGCAACTTTTGTTAAAGTTAAACTCATCATTCTTACATGTGCAGAAGCCTGTACTTTTCCACTACTTGTTTTGACTATCTCTGCTGGCACCGTGGCAGCTGCTGATTGGAGGTCTCCATGCCTCCTCTCTGTATAATACACTTGCATTCTGTTGTTCGTGTTGTTCGTGCTGTCTCTACCATCGACAATAAAACATGTCTTCTGTCTGAATTAAAGACGCGATCCCAGACTTTGTCATCTTCTTCAACGTAACAAACGTGTCAGTGTCTTGGACTCTGCAGCCGCATATCAACTGTTATGTAAAGTCTCTGGAAGGTCTCTAGACATAGAGACACTGCAGAGCTGCACTCTTGGAGAAGAATACTACACCATACAGTCTGTCGAAGCGTTTCATTGGCTCAATGTGTTTCCTGACTTCTCATTGTTTCAGAGCGTTACATCTCGCTTCCTTGGTGTGACTGCTTTCAGTGGATAATCACTAAGCTACAGATAAATGATGCGTCAACTGCTGATCTACACAGTGTGCAGTCCTTTTGTTTTTGTAAATTGTGATTATATTTAAAAATACTTGTATTCAATATAAGGATTCTTTAAAAATGGGCATATTGCTGTTAATCTATGTTTTGCTGCAGTAGGCCCTGTCCAAATGATGTGAGAAGTATGAAATAAAAACCACAACACAATTGTTTGAGTTTTATTGACGGTGGATCAATACTTTAATATTGCTTTTCATAAGTTGCAACTAGTACATTTGTCCACAAGATGTCAATGTTACAAGCTAGTCCGAGCGGTCTGAGCTAGCTCAGAGGCTCCGACACATTTGAACCAATCTGACAAAGAAAACCTGACATAAGGACTGACATCTGCAGAGCTGTTCATCTGTTCTTCTTTATGTACTCTTTGTAATAGCAACAGGAGACATCAGAATCTGCCATAAACCTTAACTTCAAGTCCGAGCACTTCAGTGCTGTGATTGGTGTTGAGTGATGAGACTGTATGGTGTAGTATTCTTCTCCAAGAATGCAGCTCTGCAGCGTCTATGTCTAGAGACCTTCCAGAGACTTTACATAAAAGCAGTATGTGTTCACAGAGGTGCGCCATAAATTTATTTTATTTTTAATCTGTACTTCCGATGCGGAAGTACAGATTAATACTGTACGGCAGTACAGATGCGGCAAACAACTCAGGCTGGAGGCATATGTTCACAAGCACTGTGCCCCCATTGTCTATCCTGTTTTAGCTCCTTTTCTGGATGTTTACGAGTATTTTCAGTCTGCTCTCTAGACCTCTAATGCAATGTTTATCTACTGCTTGTGATGATTTTCCACTCCTGCGCCTCTACGGCGCAGTCCGTGCGTCTCTACCACGCAGTCCGTGCGTGCGTGCCGAGACACACATGCAGTTCCACGCTCAAACGCACGTCCCCTTTGACTTTGCATTGAAAGTTGCCGCAGCGCATGATCCAGTCTGAACGCCACAATAGACACTCTCAGTGCAAGAGGGAGCGCTACTGCAGGGCCTTTATTCCCACCGCGGTCAGACTGTACAATAAGTCACTTTAAGTCACTAATGCACTAGGACTGAAAAAAAACAGCACTGCTATTGCTTTTTTTGTACAAAATTATATCCTGCACAGACTATAATATTTTTAACCTTTAACATGGTTTGCACACTTCTCTTTTTCACAATCTGAGGGATTCTATCCAAATGTGACATGTACATTTCTCCTGTGTGAGAGTCTATCTTATCTTATCTTAATGTGGTATTCCGAAGGGTGTGGTGGATATTATTTAGCTCGATCCACATTAAATTAAAAAGGACGTAGGTCCGTTGTGATAACACAGAGGCTGATACAGAAGTTACATAAATCAGGACATTTATTACATGATTCTGGTCACTTTAACATGATTCTGGTCACTTCAACATGATTCTGGTTGCATCATTGTTGTGCTATCTGATGGTTGCTCTGGGACAGCAGACAACTTGGATCTGGGTAAGGCAAGGCGGCGACAGTGCACCGTATGGCTTCATGGCATCAATCTAAAATTCAACGCATAATAAATATAACAAATCACAAAAACCTAACATGTTCTGCTACGAACCTGGGTCAGCGCTGTAGCCGCTCACACACATGAGCTGGGGTGAAAGCTAGCACCGCAGGCAGTACACGGCCCAAGTCACGGCAACACAAGTGGACCCATGGCAGCAGCACTGAACCACAATATTTAACGATCAGTGTTCCGTAAAACAAACATTTCACATTTAATTTTGGATACTACCTGAGAGTGGGCACAGCAACGTAAATATGATACAACCAGAAGTAAGAGAGTGAGGTCAGAGGATGAGTGAAAGGAGACGCCTCCCTTTTATTGAGTGATTGACGGGACGAATAACCAATAGAAACCGAGGATGAGAGAAAATGGCATAGAGCCTGCCTGCAGGCTGTAATGCCACACTAAGTCAATGGAAGATCTCCTTGAGGCTCTCAGATCTTGCATAATTGTAAGTAAGGGTAGTCCTCTTTTTTACTTTCTGAAAAATCTAACGATCTGACAGGGGCCAAAAAAACATGCAAGTGAAAACTAGTGGTAGAACCAAGCTGTTTTGATTTTGGATTATATTACATAGTTCATTTTTGTGTGATTTGAAAGAGCTGTACCCCGGCTTTAAGCTTTTAAAATGAACTGTACTGAAGCACAAAGCAACACCTCTATCGCCTCTGCCCTCATTTGTTCGCTCGTGGTACTTCTGATCCCTGCAGAAGTCCTGACAGCTGAACCATTAGAAAAGCAATCTTCAAAACAATGGTCGAAACGGGAGTGCTAAATCCTGCAGTGCTTAATGAGCTACACTGCAGGCAGGAACAGAAAGTACAAGCACAAGTTTAATTTTCTCAAGGTGGAAAGACTTGTGCCACCAGACTGCAGCTAAAAGTGACACACGGAGCTGCTCTCTTCAAAAATGAGAAGAAATACTGTCATTTATAGTGAGTAACAACCGTTTCGTGGTATTTCAGAAAATCCATTTTGTATATAATTTGCCCACAAAAAACAAACAAAAACACAAGCAGGTCCACACACAAGGAGTCATTACATCAATATGCACAAAACAGGAAGAACACAAAAAGATTTCATACGTTCCAGGGATGAACTATGCTCATCTCTGGGTGAAGACGCTGCAGTGGTGAGCGTTTAGGCCAGCCAGGAGAACCTTTTCCCATAGTGTGGAAAGGGCTGAAGGGACCAGAAGTGGAGACACCGCACGCATAAACACACACTTTTACATTTTCACACACACACTCACACCCACTTACACACACACACAAGCGAGCAAATCAGAAAACGGCTCTGTGATTAGCAGTAATAATAATATACAGTGGGGCAAAAAAGTATTTAGTCAGCCACCGATTGTGCAAGTTCTCCCACTTAAAATATTGACAGAGGTCTGTAATTGTCATCATAGGTACACTTCAACTGTGAGAGACAGTTGAAGAAGTCTCCCTGGCTGAGGTCACCAAGGTGGTTGGTAGCCTCCATGGTGGCAAGGCTCCGGGTGTGGATGAGATCCGCCCTGATTATCTAAAGTCTCTGGATGTTGTAGGACTGTCTTGGCTGACACGTCTCTGCAACATCGCGTGGCGATCGGGGGCAGTGCCAATGGAGTGGCAGACCGGGGTGGTGGTCCCTCTCTACAAGAAGGGGGACCGGAGGGTGTGTTCCAATTATCGTGGGATCACACTCCTCAGCCTCCCCGGTAAGGTCTACTCCAAGGTACTGGAGAGGAGGCTACGGCCGATGGTCAAATCTCGGATCCAGGAGGGGCAGTCTGGTTTTCGTCCCGGT